GTCGTCGCCGCACTCGTATAGCGTCTCGCAGTACGCCTTGCCTCCGTCCGCCTTGCTCTGCCTCGCGATGTGCCACTGGTTGACGTAGCCGTTGGCGTTCACGTTGGCAGGAAATTTGGGCTTGCCACCTTTGCGCGGGATGGCTCGGTTGCACTGCTCGACGGCGTCGGCGGGGAGAGCGGAGAGGCTCAGCCACGCGCTGGACCGGCAGCGGAGGTGGCAGTGCGTCGACCCGTCCGACCGCAAGGCGTGGCAGGACAACCGCTGCGGCCACCCCGGAGACCCAAAGAGCGGGCGCGACCACAGAGCTGTGCTCGAGCTGCCGGCCAACCTCGACCAGCTCGCGCCCGAGGCGCAGTGCGGCTGGGTGAACCGGCAGTACAGGGTCGCTGCTAGCCAGGAGACCCGGGTCAACACACACACGCCCCGCTCCTACTTCGCGCACCGACGCGCAAACTCTCCAAGTGCACCCAACCAAGATAGAGGGCCCGACCGAGCCGCGCTCCGCCCACGCCTTCAGGAAGCTGGCGCGCGTGTGGCACCCCGACCGGTACAAGGGCGTCAAGGCGAGAGCGGAGCGGAAGATGCGCGAGTGCGCAGAGGCGAAGGAGGTGCTCGTGAGGCAGCTGCGGTGCAGTGAGCACAAGGGGAGGTAGCGCCTTCGTCGGAGGTAGGGGCACTCATCTCAACTGTGTGTTTGAACTTCCCCGCCGTGGCCGCCGAAAAAAAACAAAAAAGTGTTCGCGGTAAAAGGCAACTGCGGTTGGCACTTCGTCCCCCCGCCGGGAGGCGCTTTCAGGGTACGTGCGTCACAGGTCACACGCCCCCCGCCGGGAGCTTTTAGGGCTAGTTGTAGGGTGCGTGCGTGGTGCGTCACACGCCCCAGACGACTCACACTCAGTCGCTCAGCATCTGGTGAATCTCCTCGGCACCGCTCTGGCGTGCCCACATGCGCGCACTCTCGCCCTTGGCGTTACCGATGGCGGGTTGTGCGCCGTGCGCGAGCAAGCTCTCCACGGTCAGCTTGTGGCGGAAGGCGTTGTAGGGCATGGTGGGCGGAGGTCGGAGCGGCCCGTGCATGCATGCGAACATCAGCGCGGTGCTGCCCGTCGTGGTCGCGGGCACGTCGGGCGTCGCGCCATGCGCGAGGAGAAGCTGCACGACCTCGGCTTGGGCCCACAGGCATGCGCGCATGAGCGGAGTCCAGCCTGCCAGGGCGCGGAACGGCGGCGGCGTGCGTGGGGAGGGCGGCAGCGGGCGTGAGGCCGAGTGTGCGCGGGCTCACCGTCGGCGTCGAGGAGATCGGGGTCGGTGCCTTGGCTGAGGTAGAATTCGGCGCGCTCCGCCCGCCCTTCGATGGCCGCGATATGCAGCGGGTGGAAGCCGTCCGTCGCATCGGCCGGGGCGACGGTAGGCAGCGGCATCTTGCTCAGGTTCTGCGGCTTGAGCTTGACATCGTCTAGGGCGCAGAAGCCAACCTCCGGTCGGCGCACGCGGACGCAGCAGCGGCCGCTGACCGGGTCCACGGGCAGGAGCACGGTCGCGAGAGCCTCGTTGAGCTCCGGCCGTCCGACCAGGCCGCTCACCATCACCCGGTCCTGCGGCTGCAGTGGCTGGCTGTCGTCTGCTTCTTTGGCCTGGGCGGCGGCTCGCCACGGCGCAGAACGACTGGCGACGATCTCGGCGTAGTCGTCCTCCTCGTCCTCCTCACCCACGTCGTCGGCGGCGGCGCTCGTCCACCACGCTGGGTCCTCGCCGAGAGCACGTGCCAGCGCCTGCCATGCGTGGCGGCCACCGACATCGTGCCACTCTGGCCCGGGATGGCGACACCGGCGTGTCATCGCCCTCATGGCCGCCGACGGCCCCTGCTCCTGGCACGAATTAGCGTATACAACCTCGGCGGTCGCGCGCAGCGAACGGCCGCCGGTGAGGACGGCGAAGACGTTCTCTCTGCCCCACTTCTCCTTGGCGTCGGCCTTCTCGAAAGCATACGGCAGCAGCGTCTCGGCCACGCGCAGGAAGGCGGGCCAGTCCCAGCCCACCGGCACGACGTCGTGACGCACGGCCAGCTTGCAAAAGACCATGAAATCCGTCGTGATGGAGCTGTCTTCGCCCGCCTGCTTGCCGTAGAGCCCTGCGCGCGCCGGCGAGAGGAGGTTGAGGCGGTGCGGTGGAGGGTGCGGGCAGCCGGGTCCGTGTACAGTGATGCGCACCGCGCAATTGTCCACCGCCCCAGCACATGTCGTCGTCCACGCGCATGCGATAGCAGTCGAGGAGCCACTCGTGCTGCTGCGCGACGCCCAAGCCGTGCGCCCACGCCGTCGCCTGGAGGCCCATGTCATGCATCTGGCCGCCCATGGTCTCGCCCCGCGCCTGATCGGGCGCTCGTGGGAAGCGCGGCGCCGCCGCGTTAGGCACGTCGGGAGGCGGTGGACCACCGCCACCTAGCGCGCCGGCGAAGCCCGCGGCAAAAGCATTGTTGCGCGCGGCCTCCTTGCGCTTCGCCTCCTTCTTTGCCTCGCGCAGCTTCGCCTCCAGCGGCCGCAGCAACGCCGCCGCCGCCGCCGCCTGCGTGGCGTCGCCACCGCCCGTGACCTGCCGCAAGTCGTTTGCGGCGGCCTCCACCTCGCCGAGTCTCACGGCGGCCTTGGCGCGACGCACGAGGCTCTTGGCGTGCGTCGGCACGAGCGCCAGCGCGTCACTCGCCGCCGCGGCCGCCGCCTCCCACTGCTCGAGCTTGAGCCGGCACTCGGCCAAGTTGGAGCAGATCTTGGCCTTCTCCTCCCGCTGCTCGCCGGC